AGGGGATATTCAACGTAAAAAAATATTCATTGAAATTTCCTTCGTGATTCTTAATTCCCTAAGTTAAATAAAAATTTATTAATTAAATGTGCTGGAAACAGGTGAATCACAATTTACTTCGTTACAAAGTGATGTATCGAATTAATATTTACCATGAATGGATGAAAAATTGAAGTTTGAAACAATGTGCAGCATAGTATAGATTACGATAGAATTTTTATTATCACTCGATGACTAGATAATAATATAAAGATCCGTAGTAACTCGTGTCGATGAAGTCATGAACTGCGCTAGTCACGCAAATCTTTTTGTTCATCTTTACGAAACCCGGTGAGGAGCACGTGTTCGGTCTTCATAACTGTACAACATTCAATTCTCTTACCCGACGAAATATACCCTATTTTGTTTTGTTCTCTTTTCGTTTCAGTTTTATCGAATTCTCGCGGGTAAAACGATCAGGGACGACGTATATACAATTCTACAGTGATATATTCTTTTGTCTCGATTTTTGTCCTTGTCGCGTAATACGCGGTGTGTCGAGTAGTCCTATATCCCTCGAATAATATGAGGCCCACAGACTTCCCGAAAAATAACTTAAAAAATTTACGACTTTACAAGTCACATTTTCGCAATTGTTAATGGATACGAGTGAAAATTTTCTCGCCGTATAATTAATGTAAGTGTGCCTCGTATTATTACACATGCAAACGAGATTAGCCATCAACTGGAGATTACAGTCGATCGATAGATCGAATCTGTTGCTTTTGATTATCGATCGTTTATAAATCTAGGCATGCTTTCACGAATATGTATCTCGCGTGTACATACATATACAATTTATACATAACCGCGCATATATGCGTTGAGACAAGGGTACAATTGACATCGTTATGACTTTGATTATTCAAAATCGTTAACACTTTACCGACAGAGGAGTAAAGGACGTCCTTGTAATTAAAAGAGAAATATTGCAAATAATATTATCACCTATCGAATTGTATATTTGTATACTTTTGTGCAGTATTCCGAGGGAATATCAATTATAATTTTCCATGTGGATAAAACTTTGAAACTAGTGAATTTACAACCCTATCCGTAAAGCATTAACCGCACAAATGAATATTCCATTCAAATAGGATCGATCGATCGAAATGTCTCGCGACACTGGCTTCCCGATGCTGCGAATCGATAAAAAGGAACGCAGATCAGGTCAAAGGTGTAATCTAAACGGTCGGTTTCACCAACGATAAACAAACACACAAGGTAAACTTCGATTTAATGCTCAATCCAACGGTGCCGTGTTTGTTCAATGATTTCGTGTATGTTGAGGGGATCGAGTAGCGATCATCTAATAAGTCGCGAAAAAAAGACTTACTTTCGAGCACCAGTTGTGCACATTGACATTGGTGACGCTGACAGGTTACACAACACTTTAGATGCACTTCACGATGTAACAGATGCATTATTTTGTTCACGATACATCAACCGTTATACTCGTGCGCAAGAGTATCGTTTGACTTACCGGAATTTCACTACTCACTGATCGGAAGTAAACTTTTTCACAATAAAATTACAACACAATTAATGCTTTACGTCTATCTGTCGTTTGAAATTGAAAATCACACTTCGGGAACCGGTTTTTTGTAAGATATTAGAAAATTAAAGCGACGATACTAGATTAACACAGACTGTTTTCGTAGCGCACCTTTCCTTGTCCGCTTCTTAAAGTCGACTGAGCGGTTTACAGCATAGTAGAACGATTCTGATTGGTCGCGAAACAGGCCAACTCTGTAGCACTAAATTCATATACGGTGACGACATATAGTATTCATTATGGAAAAATGTAAATCGTTCATACTGTTATAAAACAGTATTGACCTTTCGTTCGATGTTATTTCACAACTTGACTAATAAAAAATATGAAATAACTTTACGTAATTGTATTCACGAGGGAATCGATCTATCGAGCATTGATACGAAAAATTCATTAGTGCTTCAGGGTTAACTTTTACTTCGAATTTCGTTTGCGGACGGCGTCGCTCGTGTAGAGATCGCTGTACGCCAATCCTCTCCCTTTCTCCTGCACTCTTTTTTTTTCTCTTTCCTTTTCATTCTTCTCTTACTGGAGTACGATAGAATCTAATTTGAACTATTTACAATAAACGACACCTGAAACTTCTAGCGTCACGTAAGCGCGGTATACCACAAAAACGTGTCCCGTAAATCTCACAAGCGAAAAGATGCCATCCGTGAAGCACGGTCGCGCAATACATACTACTGTCGGTCCAATGGAAATCTTCCATGAAGCAAATATCGACGTTCCTATTGGAACGTTCTTTTTCGAAATATCCCATTGGTTTCAATCAATATCAAGCCATATGTATATATTCGAAAAGTAACGAATTAAAGTGCGTGTAGACAAAACGAACGAATTCGCTCGTTCGTCCTTCACTTCCAAAAATTCTTCATACATTCAGCGTTTGTTTACGCTCGTTTGGACTTGAATTTTGTCGAAGTTGAAGGG